CAGAGAGAGAAGAGAGAGAGAGAGAGAGAGAGAGAGAGAGAGAGAGAGAGAGAGAGAGAAATCATATTTTATCTCCATTAACCTCTGTAAACACTGTACTATGGCATATTGTTCTCAGGAGGTTTGTAAGTATTTTATTTTACCACAGTACTATGTGGATGCCTTCTATAATTTCACAGAGATTATTTTACCTCTGATGAGCCAGCTAACTACACAATCCATCTCCCCTACCTTCTCTTTTAGGAGACTAATCTTACTATTGAGCTATACTTTTGCAGAGAATTGCTACTTCTTAAGAAAAATTACTTTATTAACTATGGCAAACAGTTAATGAAAACTTGCATGTTTAGTGCTATTACAGAATCTCAAAGCAAATGCAGTCCTATAATTATCATTTAATAGAGTTACTTTCTGCTGGGCTCCTAAAAGTAATTACATATTGAAGTAATCCAAAAGGAATAATCACATTCCACATCCTATTAATAGCCTACTGAGTTACCAAATTTCTCGGCAGAGACTATTTTCCATAGAAAATAGGAGATAATGGTTTAGATCATGCTGAGTAAAAGTATCAAGCCATTTTCTCCTTGAGTGTTTACTTTCGTTATGCAGTGTAAATAATCACTATTGTGTTTGCCAAAGTCTTCCTAAGCATCTTTAGAGTCATAAGAGGGAAACCCTCTAGTACAAGCCAGCCTTTTGTTTCATTTCATCTTACTGTATTCCTCAGTCCTAGCTTTAAAGCTGGATCAGAGGGGATAAAGAAAGAATACCAGGTAGCTCTTCAGCATGTGTGTCCATCTTGAGCTATTACTATCAGGAATGGGGTTGTTTGGGCAGATAAAAGTCAGTGAACTCAGCCCATTGAGACACACGTACTTTAAAACTGCCCATAAGGATGTGTTTTATGTCTTTAGTCACTATTTCAAATGAGGCAAGAACATGAATTGTCCAAAAGCAGTGATCTGTCAAAGGTCATACTCCCACTCAGTCTTGGAATCAAGTCTAAATATTTGGAAGTTATTGCTTGGTGCATGGAAAGTACATAGAAAACTGTGGTATTTTGTACTTAATTCTTTTCTATCTTTATTTACTGTCCAGTTAAATGACAAGAAGCCCCAGAGAGGAAAAATTTATAGTTCTGTCCATGAGTCTAGGATTCAGGGAACGTATAAAGAGAAAATAAAAAATGACTTTGATTTCCATTTCAATCATAGCCATAATAATTGTGATAAAACATATTTTCAAAGAATCTTATGTTGTTTTTCTATTGCATAATTAATACATATCCCTTGTGGGAAAATTTGAAAACACAAACACCAGAAATAAGATTAAAATTAATAAAAAATAACATGGTGTACTCTAAAGAAATAGCAGTTATTTTTTATTCCTCCTAGCTGTTTTCTTTTCTTATTTTTTAATGAAAAGCACCCTAAACATTTGTTTTCCACTCAGCATGTGACATACATTGGTTTGCATCAGAACACTGGTGTCAGTGCCTTCTAACTAGGATCTTGTTCACTAGCATGTGGCTGTTATTTTTAAATTCATCACTTTTGCACACCTTTGCCAGTTATGTGATTAACTCTTTTATGGTTGAATTCTTGGAATGGATTCTGTAGACCAAAAGCATTTTTTGTTGTTATTTTTTCAATTTTACTTTTATTACAAATGGATTTCTTTATATAATATACTTTCATTTCTCCCTAATAGGCAAAGTGTTCATTGGGAATGTTTGCACCCCTCCAGCATGGAGAAAATTGAACAAATATCACAGAATAGTTTAGCATGAGAAATGTAATAAACTGTAACTATTCATATTCTGTCAATGTCAACAAAGAATATATACATAGATGTCTCACGGGTGCTTGTTTGAATTATATAACTACGCAAGGCAACTATTACTGCCATGTCTCCTTTATAGTAATTTTTATTTTATTTTGTAGATTCTGCAACATAATTCCCTCAGCAGTGTACAAATTCTTGTTTCTTCTGAGAGTCATTGCAGCCACCACAGTCTTGAATCATCTTTTACATTAGCAATTTAAAGGCCATCTTATTTAGAATTTGCTTCATTTTAGTATTCCCTTCATTACAAAATTCTGGTAAAATAAAATATTTTGTCTGACTTTTATACATTTTTTTAGGATGCTGGGTGTGTATCTGGACTACTGACAAAGCTATGGAATAAGAAGCATTCTGTGTGTACTTTTGATTCCTTTTCTGTCTCTGCAACAAAGACCTTACATTTTAAGAGATTTTTTTTTATTCTTGCTGTTGTTTTTGGTTTAGATTCTTTTCCTCTAGAGAATGAGACTTGCTGGTTCTTCAACTATGATGGAGTTCACTTTTTTACAATCTGTGTTGGAAAAATCTTGATAAAAGGAAATAAGCTTAATTGTCATATAGCCTTACAGAATGCAAAGATTAGCTGTGGACAAA